TATTATTGATTAGGTAGACTGCATTATCGCGCACAATTCTCTATTTGTCCGGGTAACCGCACTCACAGAAAGCACTAAACTTGAGTTTTCATCTATATAGAGCTCATCCATGGTGCATATCCACTGTTCGGCCCCATTGCATGGAACACGGATTTGTAACCTCTGTGTCCAACATTTCACCCGGAGACTTCCCAGAATTGTCGATCTGTTTGTCTAGATCTCCTGTTCAATGATAATCAACCAGTGAGTTGACCCGTCAGCAGCCAATTGAGACACAGTCCATTATTTGCTAACTCCATTTCGAAAGCCCCGCACTAAAACAGGATTTTCACTACTTGCAAGTAATTTACTTGTAGCCTAGTAGGCTTGTGGTTAGTCAACCGAAACCCACTTGTTTGTTTCAATTTCTCGCCTGTCTAATGTTGTTTTCCGCAGACCACCTCATTCAGATTGTTGATATATATCTGTGGCACAGATATCCATAACCGAATAATTTCCTCGTCCTCTAATTTCCCAGTACCCGATCTAAAGAAACGTATAGCCGATTGGAAAGCCGATCGGGAAGCGAAGTGGCATGCCAATCAACAGGCCAAATCCCGAGGTGGTGATGATAACTGAACAATGTATGAAATCCCTTTTCCAAGTGCCCAACACACTTATACGGTCTTGCAGTCTGTATGTGTTTCAACCCATGAAAACACTTTCAGTTAACCTATTGCATAGTTCTCTTTCTTAGCCTGAACTCAGTTATGACTATTGTGTTATGCGCTTTTTTCAACCCCTCCTCACACATGTCGAACCCTTTCATAGGTAAACCTTTAAGCTGATGTCTCAACCCCACCAAACCGTCGACACCACTCCACCCCAATCACACACGCCGTCCCACATGTCTCCGCACTTCATCTTGGTTTTGTTACATTGCTCTCTTCTTAACCAGAAGTCACTTCTGTTTCCCACCCTCATAGTCTGTTATTTGTTTCATATTGTTTTGATTGAAGAGCGAATTCTTAACGAATGCTTTGAAGCAGTTCTTTTTTCCTGCGAATTCGGGATGTTTCTAACTTTTCTTTACATAGTGGAACATGCATAATCGGAATGAATTCAGTCATCTGCGCTGGAAAAGCACAAAGTCCCAAAAGATTTTGACTTTATCACACTGTTCTAGGACAAGTTGTATTCCAAAGTGCCTTTCGTGCTTGTCAACAACGTATGACAGTTAGTTCTACGATCGACTGTCCTAATCCCAGATACTATACCTTTTTCAATTTATTGTCTTAATATCAATTGATGATGTCACAATAACAATGTAAGATGTCATGTTGCTACGTCGATAGTCCGATTACCCCATGGTTTCACATTGTCTTGTACACTTTCCGATACTCTTCTTGTCACATGCAGTCCATCCGTGTGGTGATGGTAAGCCTGTTGTACAGTCGAAATTTATTGGACCTGCTAAACACTGGCGGCTGTAAACAAGGAGGTTTCTCGTTCGGGTTAGCTGGGCCAGCACCGGGTCACTTGTTGCGGCTGCCCTATCCGACCGATCGGTCGTGTGATTTTCGGCCCGGCATGGGAGGTTGAGTTCTGAATCCGACGCTGCTTAAGTGTTGATAGAGAATCACCATATGAAGGTCAGTTGTGGAGCAATGCGCCATGTGGGAAATTCGGAATAAGAAGAAGCGGGCTCGGTACACCGATAAGCATGGACTACAATATCCATTAATGTAGGCTCACACAAAACTCTTCTCGGTATTTTGCCAACTGGTAATCGACAAGCATCATCCGGGTCTAACGCGCGCCTTACTGTGTTTGAATCATGTACTTGGAAATAACGGCAATTTAGTGTGGTATATAAGATTACGAACAGACGGTCATTACATTTGTTGTTATCATGACTGGCTCACTACTCGTCGTCTATCGATGGACGATCGTTTACCCAGTGAACTTCGACCGTACAGTGCGATTGCTCCAGCGTTTTCGATCGTCTCATTCCTCTCACCCGTGACCTTAAGCAAGTAAATTCCCTCTGACCCCTAATGCGATCTGCGGCGCTTAGAATCTCTCACCCTAGTACGAGACTGTCTGATTGCCGGTTGTATGTTGTGTTGGTACGCCCAGTCCATCCGAATATTGATGGCCCTGCAGTCGAGGTTCACTAATCCTGCCTGAGATTCAGAGCTATAAGAAACTGTGTGGTTTCCGATGCAGCCTGTGTTGGTAGAGAATCAGTTGTGGAGCGGTGAGCCATGTGGGAAATTCGGAATGGAAAATGCTCAAGCGATGATAACACTGGGCCAACGCTTGACTCGTCTAAGATACGCGCACTATTTTTCGAAGCGGGTTCGGTAAACAGATAATCATAATAAAACTTTGAACTTGTCTTAATAACGGACAACAATATCCACTAATGTAGACTCACACAAAACTCTTGTTGCTTTTCCCAACTGGTTGTTTTCGCGTTGAACGATCTCGCTAACTACCTCGGAGATAGAATTTCGAAAGAAAGGAAGAACAAATATTACGGAAATAATTATATTCATATTATAAAAGTTGTTCCATATGTTTTCCATTGTGCTGCCTGCATCGCCAATCCCGGTGAAGATAGTCTTCTTCCAGCTTCAGAATGGTAGCAGTTGGAATGTTTGCGCACTGCGCCAAAATACTCTGTTTAGGCTCCTCGATCGTTCTCGGTTTTCGGGAATAAAGTGTTCTCTTTAGATATTCCCACAGAAAGAAATCCGGCGGGGACAGATCAGGCGATCTTGGAGGCCATTCCTTTGGTCCTCCTCGGCCAATCCATCTGCAGTTAAATTCCGAGTTGAGGAAACTTCTCACCACCAGAGCATTGTGTGGTGGTGCACCGTCATGTTGGAACCAAACTATAGTACTAATTTCAGTTTCTATACGCCGGATGGCAGGTACCACATTACCTCGTAACATTTGCAAGTATTAAGCGCCATCACGAAGAGACTGCACCTGGGCGTGGTGTGATGGCTTGCGCGCCTCAATGACCCTGCGAGCTATACAGGATGGCTTCTCAGCCGCAGATCCAATCATGCCTGACAGGTCAGTGTGTATAGGCCAGACGAAAATCAGTCTCACAAGGCCAGCTGCTTAGGCATCTGGCTTCTTTTTCTATGAAAACCCGCCCCTGGAGAGGTCACTCCAGTGAATAAACACGGTGAGGGGTAGTTTACTGGTCAAAAAACCTCGTTAGATAGACGTAGGAGCTGGGTACCTGGGGCTTCCTCTCGACGGTGGG